AAGGCAGCACTGCTATAACTATTCATGTCTGAATTGCACAGTAGTTATGTCATTTGCACATTTTAAGGCAAACTTCGCTGTGAATCCTGAGCGCTAAAGTGTCAAGTTCTATGTTTAGATCTTAAAGTACACCTGTCATGACAGAATTATATAGGCTGCCATTGCTATCATTGGTGATGCTTTGTTGTCAATTCTAAGAGTAACCAAGCTGAAGAAAAAAGGATACCGACCAGGAAGAGAAACTAAAGATTCACATCAAATATCCAATCCTGTGGACAGCAAATTCCTGTTTATTTCATCTGCACATGATTGGATATTTGAAGTCAATCTACACTCTGGGTGGACATTGTCAACTCCTTTAGTAAATTAGCCTTAAGGTATTTTGAAACACTGACAGCATCATAAAAAATATTAAAATGTATATCAAGCCAAAAACTTTTTTTTTAGTTTTTGGAATAGTGTCTAGAACGCTTTGAACCCCTGGTAGGTTTTCACTGGGCTCTGTTAGAGAGATTTCTCCTTGCTGTTTAGTGGTCTTTCCAATGAAAATCTGCAACTGGGTACTCTCTAACTTCCCTACCCTGGATGCAGCCCTTACACCGTCCCCAGGCATGGACACTCCCATTCCTGACTGATTCCCTTCTGCGGGTCTGGGACTCAACTGCAGAGATGGGGTAACTCTTCGGTGCTGGACCTGCTTTTGAGCAACCTGGAATTCCTGGGGCACCAACCCCTAAGCTTTTTAAAATGGACATTGGGATCACCCTCACCAGTGTGCCAAGCATTAGGCAACATGGGGCTTTTGCCAATGAAGGAACTTACCACCCGAGACTAATCGTCCAGGGAAGTGGCTCCAATATTTTCAACTCAGTTAGCCAAATTGGGTGTGATACATAGAGATCAGACCACCTTTTAAGGCCTCATGCCTTAGCAAAACTGACTGCCCTCACACCATTTCTACTGTAGATGGCATACTACTCAAACACACATTTCCTCATCAACAGTTTTCACTAGGGACTGGGAGAGAGAGTTAGGCCATCTTCTCTTGACAGAGGACTGGGAAAAGTTATTTTACCTTACGTTTAAATCAAGTCTATCTGCCAAAACGCAGGAAAATCTATAAAACTTGCAAGGTGGTATAGATGTCCAGACAGGTTGCAAAATGCTGCCAAACTATTCTCCTCATTGTTGGGGATGTGGTGGTGACATGGGCACCAGGATACAATTGTGGTGGTCTTGTCTGCTGCTGGTGCCATTTTGGGATGCTGTTTTTAAAATCAGAGCTCGAATTATAGGCATTGTGAGCTCCTTATGATGCCAGAACTGGCCTTATTTTCACAAATCGGCCAAAAAAGGTTTTAAGGTTTTTCAATTGCCGCGATGTGAAGCATAATACCCAGACACTGGAATTCTTCCAGTGTGCCCAGTATTAGGAATGGGTGACTAAATTGAATAATAGTATGCAAATGCAGCTCACGCCGAAAATTCATGAAAACCTTTCTAGATTACGTCGATGTGGTTTGTCTGGATTGATTTCTTAATTTCTGATGCACTAAAATTGTACCTGTGACCCACACCTTACCACCCACTAACAGCTGTACTGGGCAATGTTGGTGTGTCCGGTCAGACAGGATCCCCTTTTCTCCATCCTCCCTCCTTTACTTTCCCCCTTTCTTTTTCTCTTATCTTTTTTTGTATAGTACTTACCTGTTAAATGGGTTCTTATTTATGGGATATACTGGTTTGCACATAACCTACTCAGTGGATGTTGAAGTATATATTCCGGATTACTGCCTCAGTCTGCATTATACTGCAATGTTATACTCATGTACTTGTATAGTTTTATTATCTGAATGGCATTTTTTAGAAATTGTTCACTAAAACTTTATTCTGAAAATCCACTGGGTCACAGAGAGAAATAAAAATATGACAGAAGATCTAGACTTCCCCTTTCCTATTAAAAGAGAAAAAAAAAAATTCTGCCCTTGTCGATTTCTTGTCTTGTAAAACACTTTCAACAGGACAGAAATGTAGAGTAAATCTCTCAAACAGAGTCACATAGTGGTAAAATCCCAACACAGGTTCTAACTCTCTATTGTTCTATCCAAATGGAGGAAAAAAAAAAGAAAGTTTAGCCTTGACATGCACTTCAGATTAAACAACAAAGCAACAGGAGTCCACCAATGTCCATTCCCATACTTCCCTCATTACAGGTGTTCTTTAAATCAAAATATCCTAAACCTCCCTTATTAGAAGAAAAAAAAAAAGGAAAAAAAAAAAAACAAACAGATCTTCCCCTCCTCCACATTACATCCTCCAGCATTGAAGAGTAAAATATTGTGATCTCCAGCATTTATTAAAATTTTTTTTTTTTTTTTTTTTTTTTTTAAGTTCATAAACGACAACAAAGTTACTGTATAATTGATCGCATACAACCAGCATACAACAGCATGTCCTCAGTCTAAATGAAATACAAAAGATTTTTCATACATTTTTTTCATACAAAGAATTTGTTTAAATTTATTGTGACGTATATATATATTTTTTGTTACATAAAATTTGCTACAGCAAAGTATCTTAAACTTTTCTTGCACACATGTAAGTAAGTGTGGACAAAGACTGAAGTTCTCCTCGGCCTCCTTATTACACCGCTGTGCAAAAAAAAAAAAAAGAAAGGAAAAAAAAAAAACAAACAAAACCTCTTGCCAACCTGAGGACATACACAGATTGCTGACTTGTATATCTCCAAATTGGTAATAAAACATCTCGACATGAACCTGTCTTGTACACACATCTGAGGATACCTCCAATTTGTTTACTGAAATATTCACAAACAATTCATTACCAACTTTCCAGTGGTAAAAGTAAAAGTTGCCATTTTGGGGGAAAACACTTTAGTGTCAATGGACTTTCGCCCACAAGATGGCAACCACAGCTGTGTGTAGTCTACAGGCACATTTTAAATAGGTTAAAAGGAAGTAACGTCAGTGACTTCAATCTCCCAGCATTCACACAATATGATGGCTATATATATATATTTTTTTATATATATCAATATCGATCCATAATTAAAAAAAAAAAAAAAAAAAATCTGTGCATGTAGATGGATCAGAAAATGACTAACATTTATTGGAGACTGGTTCAAGTGTGCTGTTTTAAGACAGTTCACTGATAAATATATATATATATGTGATGTGTACAAACAAGTAACAAAACTAAGTGGAGGGGACAGAGCAAAACACTGGCTGCAGAAGGAATTAAAAACAGGGAAAAAAATAGGACTATGCCAATGGCAAGCCATTCTGTCAGATTGCAGTTGGGGAGGTTAGGCCCAAATGCTACCGGTGCGGCCCCCTGGCTCACGGTGCGAGGAGCCCATAGCGGGACAGAAAATTACAGAATGCTGGAGCTCTTCATTCACTTACATGATTTAGGTATCTTAGCCAGCACCTCATTCTCCGTTTACTAATATAGTAAACTGGAACAAACCATAGTAGCAACCTCTAAGGTGGGGTCAATGGCAAATGACAATGCAGCCTGTGTTTATTGTTTAGCTTTTCCTTCTTTTTGCTAGAATTAGCTTTAATTAGCCTTTCTTGCTAAGGTTAAAAAAAAATTTAATTCTGAAAACAGAACAAGTTAGGGAGTCATAATAGTGTCACATTTATTAACTGTGGTTAGGTTTCCTAAAAAAAAAAAAAAAAAATACTGACCAGAGCTTTTATTTAAGAGAGCAGTCAGAGCAATATTAAAACCCATAATTTCACACAAGTGGCCTTATTAAATACCAGTGCGAAGAGTAATGCGTGAAGTAGCTCGCAGCAAGATACGAAAGACTTCTGGCAACTAAGTCTGGGTAGGGCACATAAAAACTGATTTCTGATTGGTTGCTATGAGCTACCACACAGCGTTACTTTTTGTTTTACTTCAGTAACGCAAGTCAATACTTAACACTATGTAGGACAAGACCAGCTGGATGTCTTTGCTCAGTGACGTTTGCTAGACGCTGCATCGCCTTGTCATGTAACAAACAGATCCTGCCCCCCCCCCAAAAAAAAAAGGGTGGGCAATAGACAAAATACAGCAGGAGAGGAGGGCAAGGTCTAGCTAATCGAATGTCACAATCCACTTTAGCTTCAACCCATCATTGGTCAGTCTCACTGAAGGTGAAACATCTGACAGCGTAACCAAAAGTGTCAGAGAAAAGAACAACCTGTGCTGCCCTCGACAATCCACCAATCAATTTCTCCTTTAATTTTCTAATGTGCCATAGAAATAGGAAACGGAGAAGCCGATTGGTTCCAGTGCAACACAAGCCATTCTTTCTATGGACATGTTTGCCAGCAAGGACCATGTATGAAAAATGAGTGGCCCTCGCAAAGTTTAGCTTCGCAAAATAAAAAAATGTTATAATTGAATGCTGTGATGAAAGGTAACCTGTAACTTCAGACGAGGATGGACAGGAAAAATTATATATATATATGTATATATTCATTACAAAGTGGCACAAAATGGAGGCAACAACATTATCCATTGTAGTCCTTACTAAGTGCAACATCTCCCGCAGTCACACACACAAACACTCATTACACATCAGAAATAAAAAGGGAGTGTAAGTTGGGTAAAATACTACTTAAAAACGGTGAGGAGGACGAGGTGGCTAGGAAACATACAAGACGCAAAACAGAACCGGGATGGAGGGAAAAAAAAAATGAAAAAAAAAAAAAAAAAAAATGAAAAGAAAAGAAACACAAGATCAGTGGTCTAGTATTCTGCGTTACAGCACAAACAAGGCTTTTTTGTCGTTGTGCCGGGGTACTAGGGTCGGTGCAAACTGCACGCATGGAAGATGGCGCTCTAGACTTCAGTCAGCTTTGCGGAATGAAGGAACTAGGTAACTGTTTTGACATAAGATGGTCTCAGCTCCACCCCATCTGAAAACAGAGTGCAAAGATCCCAAAAATGTGAGCCCTGATGCCGTGTCATTCTAAACGCACATCCTAAAAGTCAGCAAACTCTTTTGCGCATTTTTCGGTCAGGGACACACGGATGTCTTCCTCTTCATAGTCGTCGAAATTGCTGGTGTCTCCTGGCCCTCTGCACTTTGGTATGAAAGGAGCTTCAACCTGAATGGGAAAGCAGACAGACATTGGTAAAGGAAAAAACACACAGGCACATCGTTCTTAAATGAGACAACAGTAAAGTAAAATTAACTGACACGGTGGAAGGATGACCCAGCGAACAAGCTTTCACTGAATTTGGCATGGGGACACACTGGAGGCATTCAAGCTGCAATTGTACACTTGTTGGGTGTCCAGTGTGCCCCTACGCTTTTAAGGAGGAGTGGGCTCCCTCCAGGCATACCTGCTCTTAAAGCGGTAGTAAGTCTCCAAAGAAAAAAAAAAAAAATACTGTTACAGGGCAGCAGTTGTGCGCAAAATCACATATATATACGTGATTTTGCATTTCTGGGTAGGTGGCTCGGCGATTGCAGAACATCTCTGATGAGGGGGGAGGGGCGAGAGAACTGTTTGTAAACAAAACAGTTCTCTCCCCAGTCAGCTCCTGCACACTGCTTTGCATGGCTGTGCATTGTACAGCCATGCAAAAGCAGTGGGCTTACAGTGAAGCACTAACACAGCACACTTAGTAAAATGGCACACAGTTAACCCTTTGATTGCCCCACATAACCCCTTCCTGCCCAGTGCCATTATTAGAGTGTCAGTGCTTTTTATTAGCACTGACTGTATTGGTGTCACTGGGGATGTCAGTGACACCAAGTCAGTTCCCCTCAGTGTCAGAATGCCGCTGATTGCCGCCATTACTAGTAAAACTTAAAAAAAACAAAAAAAAAAAAAAACACTACCAGTATATATACACCTCCATTTGTAAACGCTATAAGGTTCATGTAAACCAATTAATTTACACCTATGGGTTTTTTGTTTTTTTTTTTAAGCAAAGACATGTAGCAGAGCAGAATACATTTTGGCCTAAATTTATGACTGGTGATGATGAAGACTCAAATACAGAATTAGGACCACAGTATACAGAGGAGCCATGACAAGGCAGTGCGGCTTTCACATATATTTGCAAACGTGCAACTAAACTCTCCGTTTTTAACATGAATTGTTAGATAGGGTCAATTTGTTTTTTTGCAGGCTAGCTGGTAAGTGTGCTGTTCGTTTGGGCATGATGAACAAGGCCTAAGAACAAAGCATTTACAATTTGAGAAAGGAAGGAAACGCTTTATGTTATTAATATCCGGGCCTTATGCCAACTATGCCTATTTGTAGGCCGTGCAATCATCTACACACACTGCAAAATAATTACATCTTTTTGCTTTGGTTTCGGTGAGGTCGGTATTATACACTATATGGCCAAGAGTTTATGGACACTGGACCATCACACCTACATCAATTTGATGGACAATCCCTTTCAAAAATCATTATTATTATACAGGATTTATATGGAGCCAACAGTTTGCTCAGCGCTTTACAATATAACGGGAGACAATACAGCAACAATACAGTTCAATACAAGAGGGATAGGAGAGCCCTGCTCCTTGGAGCTTACAATCTAGGAATCATGGAATATAATACAGACTTTACAGCTATAACAGCTTCCACTCTTCTGGGAAGGCTTTCCAGAAGTGTGTCTGTGGCAACTTGATTCCATTCATCCAAAAAATTGGGCGGTTAGGTGCACCATGATGGTGGCCATCCCAAAGGTGTTCAGTAAACTTGAAATCAGGGCTTTTGTGAGGGCCACTCAAGTTCCTCCACACCAAACTTATTAAACCATTTCTATACTAAGCTGGCTTTGTATATAGGGCACAGTTATGCAGGAGCAGAACAGGACCTTTCCACAAACTGTTGTCACAAGTTTTGAAGTGCACAATCATCTAAAATGTCTTTGAATGCTGTAGCATTAACAGTACCCTTCTCTGGAAACACCCGAACTCAATCATTCCACATACAAGCAGTCCCCGGGTTTCAAACAAGATAGGCTCTGTAGGTTTGTTCTTAAGTTGAATTTGTATGCAAGTTGAAACAGGTACATTTTAATTGTAACGCCAGCCAAAAAAATTATTTTTGCCTTTTGGATAGCATAGTGAAGGGTTAACTGGCCATGCAGTGATGTGGGATTGCTGACAGGTCCGCCAGACAGTAGCTGGCAGCATGCGATGAACAGAAAGATGGCTGCCTGGCGGTTTCCGGGACCAGCGTGACGTCACGCTGCCTCCGTTATCAAGTATGAGTCGCATGTAAGTTGGATGCTTGTAACCTGGGTACCGCCTGTACTTCTGGTCATACATTGTCAGGTGATCAAAAATAATCTGTCCGGTATCAATACTCCACAGTATCACCAGGTGGTCACCAGGATGCAGTGACTTCAGGGACAGCAGCGGTTAGTTCACAGGTATAGGAGAAAAAACAACTCAGTAAAAGTACAATCACTGTGTATTCAAATTTGACTGCAGACTATCTTCAGATGACTTGATTAGGGTTCTTCAAAATAAATGTAAAGCCACGCTGCATGTGAAAATGTACAAAAAGGCATCTGGCAGACACAGGTAAGCAAGATCATACACTCAGACAGCATTCGTACCTCTTGTGCACCAGCCCTGGAAAGTACTTCCATCTGACTATAAGGAGAATCTCCCATCAACGGTTTTTTTTTTTACTGCCTCCCAGCTGCAAGTGTAAATGAGCCCTAAGGCCTCTTGCATGCGGTACTGATGTCTGAGCAACAGCATTTCTGGAGGCAACTTCAAATTCTGCATTTGTGTTACACGTATTTGTGTGTATAATACATTCCATGTGCGTACTAACACATTGTAAACAGGCTGCATTTTAGAGCAGTTAAAAAAAAAAAAAAAAAAAAAAAAAAAAAAAAAAAAAAAACACAAAACAAAACAGAACCCCCCCCCCCCAAAAAAAAGCAGCTGTACTGAGCTTTTTCAAGATGTGGTTTGCAGGAGACATAACAGTGCTTTACAGCAGCTCAAGTGAGATAGTGTCAAGGAGCAAGAGAACAAGAGGCTGACAGCCAAGAAAAAAATGCATGAATTTACATTTAGGGCTGGTTCACACCACATGCGTTCCAGTGCGTTTTTTTCTGCATCCAAAACATGCAAAGTAGGTTAAATGGTTGTCAATGGAATGGTTCAACATCATTGCTTGCAGTTACAGTGTGTTCCAGTAAAAAAAAAAAAAAAACTAGAACATGCTGCAGTTTTCCTGAGCAGAACTGTACTGGAACACGGTACAACACATCAAAACTGCTCCAAAATGCAGTAAAACGCATAATAAAACCCCTCTGGAATGCGGTAAACCGCATCAAATATGCACTGGACTCCAACTGACCCAAAAAAGCAGGAAAAAGAGCAGCTGGGACGCATAAAAAACCAGCATCGAAAGTGAATCTGTAACGTTCAAAAACCGCGCATGCAGAAATGCATCCAGACTGTTTCCAGTGTGAACCAGCCCTAAAATCCACCACATACATATACCAGTAAGCTATGTATATAAAGTCATGTGAAAAAGGTTATAAAAACCTCTGCATTATGTACACATACAATTTTGTATATTTTTTATTTTATTCCTTGTAAGAGCGAAAAAAACTGATCATACAGAAATTTAGAAGGAGATAATTCTGTTTCAGTGAGGAGGTTCACCCACTAAAGAATGGGGAGATCCCTTAATTGCTGCATGTCTGCTCTAATTGATCCCCAGCCTGATTTCAAACAGCCACTGCTGAGACAATTTACAGAGACAAACAAGCACTTTCCTTATATAACCACAATGGTTCTTCTATGAACACACACTTCCTCCTTAATGTGGTCAGAGCAGGTGGGTACAGGCACAAAATACAAAACAAAGCTTAAAGATCAGCCAATAAATATGAAGAAAAAAAAAAAAAAGCTGGCCCCCGGGTGGTTTAAACCATAATGTGCCAGACTGCACCGTATACTAGCACATTATTTACTTCAGGTACTTGTATAGTGCTGTCAATTTACGTAGCGCTTTACACACATTGTACATTCACATCAGTCCCTAACCCTCAAGGGGTGTACAATCTAAGATCCCTAACTCACATTCATACAATATTAGGGCCAATTTAGACAGGATCCAATTAACCTACCAGCATGTCTTTGGAGTGTGGGAGGAAACCGGAGTACCGGAGGAAACCCACGCAGGTACAGGGAGAACATGCAAACTCCAGGCAGGAGGTGCCGTGATTGGGATTTGATTTTCGTAATTTTTTTTTACATAATTGGTGTCAGTGGGAGGAATAGTGCCCCGCCTTGGGTGTCTGTGGAAGGGATAGTGCCTTGTATCAGCGGCATGCCCAAAGGGCCAGATAAAAGCAAGCAGCAAATGCCATGGGTTTACTAAATGGGGCTAAAAAATTTACATAATTGATGTCGGGGGGGGGGGGGGGTTGATAGCGCCCCATCCTTGGTGTCAGTGGGGGGGGGGGAATAGCGCCCCATCCTTGGTGTCAGTTTGGGGGGGGGGAATAGCGCCCCATCCTTGGTGTCAGTTTGGGGGGGGGGAATAGCGCCCCATCCTTGGTGTCAGTTTGGGGGGGGTAGCCCCCCATCCTTGGTGTCAGTGGGGGGGAATGGCGCCCCATCCTTGGTGTCAGTGGGGGGGAATGGCGCCCCATCCTTGGTGTCAGTGGGGGGGAATGGCGCCCCATCCTTGGTGTCAGTGGGGGGGGAATGGCGCCCCATCCTTGGTGTCAGTGGGGGGGGAATGGCGCCCCATCCTTGGTGTCAGTGGGGGGGGAATGGCGCCCCATCCTTGGTGTCAGTGGGGGGGGAATGGCGCCCCATCCTTGGTGTCAGTGGGGGGGGAATGGCGCCCCATCCTTGGTGTCAGTGGGGGGGGAATGGCGCCCCATCCTTGGTGTCAGTGGGGGGGGAATGGCGCCCCATCCTTGGTGTCAGTGGGGGGGGAATGGCGCCCCATCCTTGGTGTCAGTGGGGGGGGAATGGCGCCCCATCCTTGGTGTCAGTGGGGGGGGAATGGCGCCCCATCCTTGGTGTCAGTGGGGGGGGAATGGCGCCCCATCCTTGGTGTCAGTGGGGGGGGAATGGCGCCCCATCCTTGGTGTCAGTGGGGGGGGAATGGCGCCCCATCCTTGGTGTCAGTGGGGGGGGAATGGCGCCCCATCCTTGGTGTCAGTGGGGGGGGAATGGCGCCCCATCCTTGGTGTCAGTGGGGGGGGGAATGGCGCCCCATCCTTGGTGTCAGTGGGGGGGGAATGGCGCCCCATCCTTGGTGTCAGTGGGGGGGGAATGGCGCCCCATCCTTGGTGTCAGTGGGGGGGGAATGGCGCCCCATCCTTGGTGTCAGTGGGGGGGGAATGGCGCCCCATCCTTGGTGTCAGTGGGGGGGGAATGGCGCCCCATCCTTGGTGTCAGTGGGGGGGGAATGGCGCCCCATCCTTGGTGTCAGTGGGGGGGGAATGGGCCCCATCCATCAGTGGGGGGGGAATGGCGCCCCATCCTTGGTCAGTGGGGGGGGAATGGCGCCCCATCCTTGGTGTCAGTGGGGGGGGAATGGCGCCCCATCCTTGGTGTCAGTGGGGGGGGGAATGGCGCCCCATCCTTGGTGTCAGTGGGGGGGGAATGGCGCCCCATCCTTGGTGTCAGTGGGGGGGGAATGGCGCCCCATCCTTGGTGTCAGGGGGGGGGGAATGGCGCCCCATCCTTGGTGTCAGTGGGGGGGGGAATGGCGCCCCATCCTTGGTGTCAGTGGGGGGGGAATGGCGCCCCATCCTTGGTGTCAGGGGGGGGAATGGCGCCCCATCCTTGGTGTCAGTGGGGGGGGATGGCGCCCCATCCTTGGTGTCAGTGGGGGGGGATGGCGCCCCATCCTTGGTGTCAGTGGGGGGGGGATGGCGCCCCATCCTTGGTGTCAGCGGGGGGGGGGATGGCGCCCCATCCTTGGTGTCAGCGGGGGGGGGATGGCGCCCCATCCTTGGTGTCAGCGGGGGGGGGGATGGCGCCCCATCCTTAGTGTCAGCGGGGGGGGATGGCGCCCCATCCTTGGTGTCAGCGGGGGGGGATGGCGCCCCATCCTTGGTGTCAGCGGGGGGGGATGGCGCCCCATCCTTGGTGTCAGCGGGGGGGGATGGCGCCCCATCCTTGGTGTCAGCGGGGGGGGGATGGCGCCCCATCCTTGGTGTCAGGGGGGGGATGGCGCCCCATCCTTGGTGTCAGCGGGGGGGGATGGCGCCCCATCCTTGGTGTCAGCAGGGGGGGGATGGCGCCCCATCCTTGGTGTCAGTGGGGGGGGAATGGCGCCCCATCCTTGGTGTCAGTGGGGGGGGAATGGCGCCCCATCCTTGGTGTCAGTGGGGGGGAATGGCGCCCCATCCTTGGTGTCAGTGGGGGGGAATGGCACCCCATCCTTGGTGTCAGTGGGGGGGGAATGGCACCCCATCCTTGGTGTCAGTGGGGGGGGAATGGCACCCCATCCTTGGTGTCAGTGGGGGGGGAATGGCGCCCCATCCTTGGTGTCAGTGGGGGGGGAATGGCGCCCCATCCTTGGTGTCAGTGGGGGGGAATGGCACCCCATCCTTGGTGTCAGTGGGGGGGGAATGGCACCCCATCCTTGGTGTCAGTGGGGGGGGAATGGCACCCCATCCTTGGTGTCAGTGGGGGGGGGAATGGCACCCCATCCTTGGTGTCAGTGGGGGGGGAATGGCACCCCATCCTTGGTGTCAGTGGGGGGGGAATGGCACCCCATCCTTGGTGTAAGTGGAAGGGATAGTGCCTCGTATTAGAGGAGTTTTCAAAGGGCTGGATAAAAGCAACCAAAGGGCCAAATGTAAAAAGTCCACATTATAAAATACCATAAAAGGCAATTAAAAAGCCACAATCTACGCAGTAATTTACCTTTCTCTGGTAAATGGCGATCCAATCTGTAGTGGCAAACCACTTGTGGTTCTTAATGTCGTTAACCCCGTTCTTCAGATTGCCATATCTTTTAGTCAGGTCTACCTGCAGCAAGTTCCTTAGTAAGTCTTTAAGATCTGAACTGAAATGGGATGGAAACCGTACCTGGGCAGGGACAACAAAGACATCCTGTGTTAGCTGCATGGACCTCAATCATTTACTAGAACGGGAAGAAATGTGTTATACCATGGACGTGTGATTTTTCCATGAAACACAAGCCTTAAACTGATACTAAGTGTTCAGATTGTAGCTCTTTGAAACACACACATGTTCTGTTTACCTGAAATGGTTCTGCACACAGCATCCCTGATCCTCCGCTTCTCAGGTCCTCCACTGGTGCTACCCCTCCCGCTGAGTGCCCCCACAGCAAGCTGCTTGCTGTGGGGGGCACCAGTGTGTGCTCGCCCCTGTATATCTAGAAGACACACAGAGCAGGACTTGGCCCACCACCTCCTCAATGGCTGTGACTGACAGCAGCAAGAGCCAATGGCTCCCGCTACTGCATCTAAGCCAATGGGTAGTAAGAGAGGAGAGAGAGCCTCGGCTCTTGTGCACATCAGGCTCAGGTATGTATTTAGGGGGGCTGTGGGGGAAGCTACACGCAGAAGGTTTTTTACCATCATGCATGAAGATGAAAAATCATCTGCATTTACAACCACTTTAAGAGAATTCTGAAAAATGCACAGTTGTGCTAAAAAGTTTGCATATACTGGCAGAAATGTTGGCATTCATATTGAAAAATATGACTGATCATGTCAAAAAAACTTTAAGGATAGTGATCATATGAAGTAATTTAACATGACATAGTAGTTTGTCTCCTTTTAAAATCATAACAGAAATCATCCAAATGGCCCTGATCAAAAGTTTACATACCGTGGAATGTTTGGCCTTGGTGCAGACGAACAAGGTGGCACACACAAGTTAAAATGGCAATTAAAGGTTAATTTTCAACATCTGTGACTTTTTAAATTGCAATTAGCGCCTGTATATAAATGGTCAGTGAGTTTGCTAGCCCTCACGTGGATGCACTGAGCAGGCTAGATCTGTAAAAAAAAACCTGCGTAACGATCTAATGGAACTTTATAAATATGGAAAAGGATATAAAAAGATATCCAAAGCCTTGAATATGCCAGTTAGTACTGTTCAATCATTAATTAAAAAGTGGAAGGTTCAGGGATCTTGATACCAAGCAAAGGTCAGGTAGAGCAAAAAAGAGTGCGACCACAACTGCCAGAAGAATTGTCCAGAATACATGTTGCATGGGTTTTTTTAATTTTTTTTTTTTCCAGGCTTCAATTTTACCTGGTGATTCAGCAAGTAACACACTGCTTTGTCCTCGGAGGTCAATGCTCACTCACCATACTTTATAGAGGAGCAGTCTTGTCTCTTCTCCATAACAAAAAACCCCCCAAAAAACCCTGTTTATCAAATCTTTATATAAAGAGCCTTTTGGTCCGAAATCAGATTTCTCTGCCACTTGTTTCAATCTACTGAACATTTGTAATCCAGCAACCCATGGACACATGTATAGGCAGGCTGGTTGTACACAAATTGATCAATCAATTTATGTACAACCAGCCTGTTGGAATTTCTGTTGATCACCGCCGCCAGGTATAGCCGGCAATGCCGATGAGTGTGTATTCTGATGGTGGGGAAATCTCCCTGATGTCAAAATACAACAGCTCAGTGGAAGGTTGAAGAAAATGACTCGTGTATGGCCAGCCTTTGGGTACCTGGAGGATCGCTTGCCCACCAGCTAAAAAACGCCTTATGCATCCTTTATTCTTCTATGCTAGAAAGGTTATAGCCATTTAGTGGAAATCCTCAGATCCTTTGAAAATTCCTAAGTGGCAAGAGATACATGTTATCAAAAGTGAACTTATCCTTTAAATGAAAATGAGGATAGTTAAACGTACTTCATTCAGTCTCTCTGATATGAAAGGTGAGCAGAAAAGTGAAGTATAAAACCTGACACTGTTCAGCCCTACAATCATATGTACATGTATTTCAATGCAAAGCTATTGTGTCCCATCATACAGTTGTTTGATTACATGATCATAATACTGTTGTTCTATTTCCCATATGTGCAACCTATACGTTGAATTACACATTTGAAAATAAATAAATACAAAAACAATGCCAAGTGTAGCATCAGGGGTAAACAAAACGGAATCTTTCTACTACATGTGGACTTACCTTTCCTGAAACAATTTTTTCATATATTTGTATGGGCTGATCGGCAAAAAATGGAGGATAACCAGCTGCCATTTCATAGATTAAAACACCTAATGCCCACCAATCGACTGCTTTGTTATAGCCCTAAAAAGAAAGAGAATTGTTATACAATAGAAACCCATTCTATAGTGTCTACAGCAATACGTGGTGTTGACTGAGAAAGATAATGACATCACATCACTGGAGGTGCCAGCTATAGAGTATGAATGCTTGGTATACTGATCATTCTTGTCAACAAAATCTTCCCAAAAAATCATACATGCATTTAAAACGCTATGCATGTTATTTACAGGTAAAAGCCTCCCTTGAGTAAACGACATCTAAAAGTCCTGAAAGTGCTGTTGGCCATCACCATCTTGGATGTAATGTAAGTAACCCCAGAAGACTTATAGCTGTCACTCAAGTGACACTCTTGTATTGTTCCCCCATTTGCTTCTTACCAGTGACTATAGAAAAGCGAATGTAAGGTGATGGCAAGTGAAAGAGCTAGGCCAGCACAGAAGAGAAAGCATTTTAAATCTCTGCTTTTACTTGCAATGTTTTAAATGGGACAGAGTCTCTTTAAAGACATTATCATTACATTCAAACACTATAGGCCCTACCATGGTCATACCACTGCTTCACGACTTGCATTCCAAAGGCCATTTATAAACAGCCTAGAACAAGTGGTTAAAACAAGCCTGATGCAGTTTTTTCAGCCAGCTCCCGAGTATTCCCAAAAAGTGACCATGTTTATTCACGCGGCTTTACTGGGAGCTCCCAGCTCATCGGCTTTGTTCACCTCTATGATATAGTAACCCAGAAGTGATGATCTTACATTACTTCTGGTTTACACGGATTTAAATGATGCCATTTTTAAAATGAAAACCACAGACCTTGGTGCGATCAAATGCTTTGAGGGCAAAGGAGGGATGTAGGGTTAGTGTAAAAAAAGAAAAAAAAAAAAAGTTCCCCCGCGCAAAGGCAAACACACGCATCAGTCCAGCACGCACGCAAACAGCGACTGTCCCAGAAATGTGAGGTATCACCATGAGCATCAGATCATGGGCAGTAATTTTAAAGCGTGTAATGTTTGGTATCTATTTACTCTGAGTAACATTATATATATATATATATATATATATATATATATATATATATATATATATATAAAAATAAATAATATGATATAAAGTTTGGGGCTTCTATTAAATTTTCTAGCAAAAACAAAAAGTGCCAGAAAAGGCTTGGTCTTCAAATGGTTAGAGTACCTGACGGCCCTAGTGAATTTCCAGAGGCATCTGTGCAGCCGGGGCTAGGTCACCTTGTGCCTTCAATGGAATAAGGAATTGGATGCAAAAAAAGGCAAGTAAAAGAAAAAAAAAAAAAATATATATATGTATATAAATTATATATAAGTGTATTATGATTTCACATCCGCATGCATAGAGGTTGCTGTGAATTTTGATAAAATAGGGTGGGGGTGATCCATTTTAAATTTACTTTACAGTAGGAAATGTGATGAATTGTTTTTGTCGTTTTCAGGCAAGGTATAAATTTAAAAGCCCATTTCAGGTCTCAGTGAAAATACACTGAACATGACATTGTCAGATGGTTAGTCCGTTTGAAAAATAAATAAATAAATACACAAATGCAGCACACGTTCAACCAATAGAAAAAATGAATAAGTAGATAAATAGAAAACCTGCATAAACAGAACCCCAAACCCCGAGTTGATCTAGAGAGGCAAAAACTCTCAAATCATAGACCAAACTGATCAACCAGGGGGAAAAATTGTTTCCTGATCGCCTAAGGCAACTGGAAAGTCCAACAATCTCTGGCATTATTACTTATAAATGTTAATAGTTATATTCTGTGCATTTAGGAATGCATCCAGCTTTTTTGAAACAATCAACTGAGCTGGCTAGAACTAGTTCCTGAAGGAGTCTACTCTACCCTGTGATTACTGTTAAGATATGAACACATTTAAGGTGCAGGTAAAAGGTAATAGCTTTACTATTGGTTTATTTATTAGCACCCCTAAATCATTCAAAAGTTAGGCCTACAGCTCTCCAATCGGCAATGTTCATGCTCCCTGCTAATTTCAGAGCTGTTATTAACTCAGCAGAGAGCTTCTGGGATTGCTGTAGAGAGACTGCTGTTCTTATGTAGCAGTCCTCAGAGGCAGACAACTGAAGGGGGGGCAAGCTAATTAAAGGACGCTTGAGCTGCTGCAGTAAACAAACCAATGGTAAGACTTTACCGAACACTAATGTGTTTATATCAATTCTACTGAGACTTCTACTACTGCTAAGTATAATGCGGACAATGTGTAACATGAAAAAAAAATGAATGCCCAGCTCCAGATCAAATTTGTTTTAGTTTCAAATGGAGAAGGGAAGGGTTAGGTACACTGTCAGAATTTTATGTCTGTCCCCACAGGTACAACCCCAATATCAAAAAAGTTGGGACACTGTGTAAAATCTACATAAAAACAGAATGCAATTCTTTGCAAAATGTCATAACCCAGATTTTGTTCACAATAGAATCAAATCTTTAAACTGAGAAATGTACCATTTTAAGAAAAAAAAAAAAAAAAAAAAAAAAAAAAGGTAATTTTCAAAACTGATAGCATCAACATGTCTCAAAAAAGTTGGGACAGGGCAACATAAAGCTGGCAAAGAAAGTTGTACTAACAAGGAAGAGCTGGAAGAACATTTTGTAACTAGGTTAAATGGCAACATGTCAGTAACTTGACGGTATAAAAAAAAAAAAGCATCTTCGAGAGTCTGAGTTTCTCAGTAGTAAAGATTTCATCAATCTGGGAAAAGTTGCATAGACTCAGGAATACTTCCAAAAAAAAATCAATGTCTGGGAACACAGTTCACCGTGCTATTCAAAAAGTTAAAGTTCTATTAAGCAAAGAAGTCATCATCGCTGAACATGATCCAGTAATGCCACCATCTATTCTGGGCCAAAGCTCATTTAAAATGGTCTGTTGCAAAGTGGAAAAGTGTTCCATGGTCAGACGAATTGAAATTTTACATTCTTTCAGGAAAGCATGGACACGGCTTCCTCCAGAATAAGTAGGAGAGGGAACTTCTGGCTTATCAGCACTCAATTAAAAAACCTGCATCTTTGATATGAGGGTGCATTAGAGCGCATGGAATGGGAAGCTTGCACATCTGGAAAGGTACCATCAATACTGAAAGATATATCCAGGTTTAAGAACAGCATATGCTCCCATCCATACATCATCTTTTTTCAGGGAAGACCTTGCATATTCCAGAAGGACAATGCTAAACCACATACTGCATCTATGACAACATGGCTTAGTAATAGAAGAATCTGGGTGCCTAAACGTCCTACCTGCAGGCCAAAACTTTCACCAATTGAAAACATTTGGCACATTTTAAAAACAAAAAAAAAAAATGATGACAAAGACGACCCAGGACTGTTGAGCAGTTCGAATCCTGTATCAGGCAAGAATGGGACAACACTCCTCTCCAAAAAATCCAGCAACCTCTCTCCTCCGTTCCCAGACGTTTAGAGTGTTGCCCTGTCCCAACATTTTTGAGATGTACTGCTGTCATCAATTTCAAAATTACCTTATTTCTTAAAAGGTACATTTTCTCAGTTTAAACATTTGATATGTTTTCTATTGTGAATAAAATATGGGTTTATGAGATTTGCAAATCATTGCATTGTTTTTATACAGCGTCCCAACTTTTTTTTAGAATTGGGGCTGAAGGTTCACCCTAAATGTCCCGATGGCCACTCTTACTGAGACAAAAGGATGGGTAAAACCAAAATTTAAAACTGTCACCAGAACAGCTTTGTAGATCCTTCCATTACCTTCTGCTCAACAGGGACACAAACACTGGATCTGTGACCCCACTGGGAAAACTCCCCTTAAAGGATAAGTTCACCTTTTGGACAAAATAAATGCATATTTTTTTGCAGGTAAAACAAATGTGCATTTATTATCTTTGTCCAAAGGAGCCTGTAAAGCATTACACCAGCAATCAGTAGACCACTGATGCCTGCAGGTCTCCTGCAGACCTGTCAGAATTTCTGCTTGCCGTACAGGATGTATGAGCAAGCAGATATTCTGACAGGAAGCTTCAATGAACTACCACGGCGTTCCACATCGCAATGGTAGTTCATTGAAAACTGCAAACCCACAGCTGCTCAGGCTGGCAGGACTTTTAGGCACTCATTCACAGAACAGTGAATGAGTGACACGGTCGTGTGGGCGGAGCCCTGCACAGCCACGCTATTTTTTAAAACTGCAGATAGTATGGGGGAACTTCTCCCTGTACTATCTGTCCGAGGAGGGAGGGAATGGGGGCGGCTGGCGTGGCTGCAGCTATGGGAACATGTTACATGTTCCACCCTAAGAAAATAGGTGGAACATGTAACCTGTTCCAAAAGGTGAACTTATCCTTTAAATACAATACAGTGGTAACAGAGGAAGTAAAGTAAATCTCACCTATATGAGGACGCGGCTAAAGAAAATAGTTTGCCTTAGAGTTAGGCTTTAAATGCCGAAGAAGTTGGGAATAAAGCATTAGGTTTTGAGTGTAATGTGTATTAATTTTGTCTTCTGTATCAGAGGCCATGTATCTAATGAAATCAAACCGTGATATTTGAAAACCAGTGATCTGGAGCAGAGTGATACAATCACATTGATATTTTACACCTGTTCAGACTAGAAAAGCAAGCTAACTTGGTAAAGAGCTCACTAACCTTGCTCAAAATGATTTCTGGTGCCAGGTACTCTGGGGTCCCACATAACGTCCAAGTTCTTCCCTTTACTCTCTTGGCAAACCCAAAGTCTGTGACCTGAAAAAAAAAACAAACAAACCTAAATGTCATTCTTTTAAGTGGGAAACCTGGAAGCAGAATCATGGGAAAGCTGCAGGTAGCCACAAAATTATAATTTTAATAAATCAATTACTCTGAGCTTTTCACTATAAAAAGTGGACCTTTCAGCAATTTTACAAGGCTTTGAATAAATTCCTGACGTGGCAATATACAGCTACAGCATATTAAAAAAAGGTCCCATCATTTATTAAAAAGCCGTCTTTGACCTCCAGAAAAATGACTGGACTGCAGTCAGGAAGAAGCATTGCCTAATTCTCCTTGCTTCAGTGATTAGACTGTACATGGTAACATTGTAAAAGTGTGAGGCTGCAGCAGGGGCTGATCTGTGTTCGACATTTCAAACACAGATAAGAACTGCACTTGCAGTGGATTTACACAACTGCCATTTCTGAGCCACCATTCTCCATCTAAGCAGTAGGTAATGATCCTGGATAATGCTTGAGCAGAGATGGCTCTGTCTTTCTGGAAAGAGGCAGAAAAAAAGCATTGTCAAATGGAGTGCTATAGTCTCTGCGAGGTAATAAATACCTGGAAGTGTTATACTTAAACACTACTTAGCACTTACCATAAACTATATCTCATACTAGGTCCACTGTGATTGTTATTTTTCCATTAAGCAATTTTGTTAAATGTTAAGCTTACAAACATCAGTTTGTGAATATTTTAACCCCCTGACGCCGATCTTACACAAATATGCAGTCTCACGGCAGTGGGCATTATGTTGTGGGCCCGCATGGCTCTGTCAAGTCGTGCTGGACCTAAAAACTATGCAGGCACCATGACATGGGAGGTCAGTTAGCCACCGCTTGCTCAAGGCGCCCCTAGCCACCTCTGGAGGAACCCTAGGGTTCCACAGAACCCTGTTTGAGATTGGATGTTATAGACAATTGTCAAAGAAAACCGATCTGCATGTATCTACATATTATGATATAACCTACTAAAAGGAAAGATGGGATCCCTATGAAAAGGTTAAAACTGAAGTTTAGGTATGGCGATTTCTACAGTTACATTGGTTCAGTGTGGAGCACCTGCTCTGCTGCTTACTGAGCTAGTATACAGAACTACCTCCCCTCTTTACAAAAGTACACTTAACGTGATACTGTTTGGTAAAAACAGTCAAAAGACAACTGTCAAGTCAGCAGTCTTCCCCATGGTTGTGTAACCTACTGAACCAGACTGAGAGACCATGTAAAGGCTCAGGAACCCTTTACTGGTGTTAATTAGCTGATTACAGTGTGACACCACGTGTCTACAATATTGAACTTTCACAATATTCTAATTTTCTGTTGGGTTTTCACTAGCTGTAAGCCATAATTATCAAAATTAAATACATGCTTGAAATATATCACTTTGTGTAATGAATCTATATATGAGTTTCACTTTTTGAATTGAATTCCGGAAATAAATTAACTTTTTGATGATATTCTAATTTATTGAGATGCACATATACTTACCTCTCTGATGGCCCATATTTCCTACCTCCCATCCATTCCAGCACTGCAGCCTCTGTCATTCTTTTGGCATTCAAACACTTCTGGTAGTGTCTCTAGCAGCTCAACATGGAGCTCAACACAAAAGAGCAACTTCTTTTTATTTTTAACTATCTGGAGCAATGAAACACCAGGAATAAAATGTTGGGTGTCAACTACACATGAAATCATTCCCTTACCTGAATATATCCTTGTTGGTCGATTAAAAGATTTTCTGGTTTGAGATCTCTGTAGATGAGGTCTAGCGAATGGAGGTACTCGAATGTTAAAACTATCTGAGCTGCATAGAACCGTGCGTGGGGCTCACTGCAAAGAAATCACAGGGCTCAATAAACATACAGTAACATATGCAGTAAATAACATTCATGGGACACTTTTTTTTAAAACTTCATAACATTCTAATGTCTGTCACTGGTAGCTGACAGTACATCATGGGTGGACAGACAACTACAAAATCCAGAGGAATGGGCATGTGTAGTTCAACTGACAACAGAAAAGCCTGAAAAACCAGCCGTAATATTTTTGCTGGCCATGTGACAGGTCACATGACAAAGACAAGCACAGGAAACGCATGGAAAACAGCCAGTCTGCTCACACCAGCCCTGAACAAAGGCTTCTCGTACAGCACTGCCATTAACATATGGCAACATTCAGCTCAATGTACACTGGAGAAAAAAATATCAAGCTGCCAACTCTTTGCTGAAGTGTACTACAAGCATGATTGCTTCAATACAACCTGCTGAACAAATACATTTAAACTACCTGTGATGAGAAATATGGGGTTGACAGTGGTCTCATTCCAAAAATACTAGGTGCCTGGCTGAATTCAGCTTCAACCACCTCCCGTCCAACCGTTTATATACAACGGACGGGAGGTGGTTAAAACTGAATTGGCAGTGCAGGGTCGGGTGGCCATTTATAAACGGCCTCCCCGCCCCCTGCTTGTGCGCGCTCCCTGGGAGCGCGCAGCACCACAATATGGTGCCTGCTGTGTCCTCCGGACACAGTGGAACACCGATCGTCAGACGGGACCTCTGTGCGAGGTCCCGATCATGTGATCACATGCAGAGTAGTAAGCAAGATGTCACTTCTGAAATCATTGCTTACTACGTGTGAAATCTGTGAATGATCACAGAGGTCACATGGTACAAGGCTATTCACAACAGTCTTGTACCATGCGACAAGTTGTGACCAATCACAGCTCACTCAGTAGTTCTCATAGGCTGCAAAAATGCAGCCAGAGAGAAGGAGAAATAATTGATTTTACAGCCTTTATGGGTGTAAAAGCAATCAGTGTAAACATGGTGACACTGTACTGCTAGGGTGACCGTATGTAAAAAAAAAAAAAAAAAAAAAAGAAAAAAAAAAAGAAGAATATAAAAAAAAAAAAAAATAAAAATGTAAAAAAAGTTTAAAAATTATAAATTTTTGGTTATAAACTAATTTGGGTTATTTTTTTTTTTACTAAAAAGATAACGGAATAAATTCTGGCCAAGATTTATGATGAAATTTTATTTGCAAAATTTTTGGACTTTTTCATTTACATAGCAAAAAAAAATAAAAATTCCAGTGGTGAATAAATACCACCAAAATAAAGCTTTATCTGTCTCAAAAAAATACAAAAAAATTAATATGGGTACAGTATGACATACAGAGGGTGGCTCGGCCCTGTCGACCATTCCCTCCTCACTGGCTCTGATTGAAAGCAGCAAGAGCCAATAGCTGCTGCTGTGCCTTAGCCAATGAGGAAAGAGAGACCAAAAGAATCAAGGCTCTCATGCACAGCGCTGGATCGCGATCAGACTCGGGTACAGTAAGTATTGGGGGGCTGAGGGGGGAGCTGCACACTGAAGGTTTTTTACCTTCATGCATAGAATGCATGAAGGCAAAAGACTTTCAGCCTTCAAAACCACTAAGTCTCAATGATCCCTAGTAGCCCATATTGGGTAAACATCTAGAGACCCAGTCCAGTGAAGGACAATACTGCAAGAAACCCAATAGGTTTTATGTTTTATGCATCATACAATTTGATTCATATATATCTGTATGCATGTCATAAGATAAGACACAGCACAAGGAACTGACATGTATTATGCATTTTAAAATGATTCATGCATATCTATATGCAAGCCATAAGACCTGACACTTTAATATGTGTACCCCGTGAGTCATTGGGCCTATGTCAATGGGTTTTTTTTTATACTTTGAGTGGGTTTTGCATTTCAAAACAAGTCTATGGAAATGCAAAACCTGCTTGAAGCAGGTCAGAAGGAGGTCAAATGCAAATTTGAAATCTAATGTCACCGACAAGCCATAAGCCCATCGATATAAGCCCTAAAGGGTGTCACCCATCCTCTGGAACTCCCTGCCCCAACCCATCAGATTATCACCTACTCTCCTCTCCTTTAGGCGCACCCTGAAAACCCACCTCTTCAGGGAAACCTACCCCACCCCCTGCTAACCTGCCGACCTCCTCCACTCTTCCTACCACTTCATCCCCCACAGCTATCTCCTCCTGTGCCATCATCCCCTCCCTCCTAGATTGTAAGCTTGAAAGAGCAGGGCCCTCGATCCCCTCATGTTTTGCATTGTATTGGTATTGTTCTGTCACATGTTCTGTCCCCCTTTGTAATGTACAGCGCTGAACGAACCATTGGCGCTTTATAAATACTGTATAATAATAATAATAAAAGAAATGAGATCAGTAGTGTCCTGTCCCGTTATCATAGGATGGCAAGTGTCTGTCATACACATTCAAGTACAAGGTGTAGTACTGACCTGAACCTGCCGATTCGTCTTAGATGTGAGAACATTTCACCCCCGGGCACATATTCCATTACCATGTATAAATTTGAATTGTCCTGGACAAAACAAAGAAGCATTAGTTGGTCTTGAGAAGTTGCACCAATTCTCAAGAAGTACAGTCTACCAACCTCTCAGACAAGGCAGATTTACTAAAACGGAAATAATTTGAATCTGGTGCAACTGTGCATGGTAGCCAATCAGCTTCTAATTTCAACTTGTTCAATTATGCTTTGACAATAAAACCTGGAAGCCGATTGGTTTCTAGGCACAGTTATATAGTCAATTTTGCACTCTTCAGCTTTAGTTAAAAGAAAGAAAAAAAAAAACCCAGCACATCAGTTTAATCACCTCTGTGCTCTGGTCATACCAGTTAAGCCCTGTGCAGATCATTTCTAGTACCTCTGCATTCTGACATGCAGAAGGGGTCACAGAAAATACCCTAAACATGGCCAGCTTGGGATATGAGAGCCACACAAGGGGAAAAAAATTCAGAAAACTTTATTTGCAGTACAAGATTTGTCATGAAGAGTCATCAGTGATCAGAGCTTGTGCACAGCTCAACCTGTTGGCTTCATGCATTCAATTTAGCCTATATATTCAATTTAGCCTATATATCTAAGTGTGCAAACAGAAAGTGAAGCAATAAAACAATGTATGGCTGCAGTTTTGATGAGCCGGCTGTTGGCTGTTATTTATTTATTATTACAGGTACTTGTATAGTGCTGTCAATTTACGCAGCGCTTTAGATATATATTGTACATTCACATAAGTTCCTAACCCTCAAGGGGCGTACAATCTAAGGTCCCTCACAATCATATACAAGGGCCAATTTAGACAGGATCCAATTAACCTACCAGCATGTCTTTGGAATGTGGGAGGAAACCGGAGTACCCGGAGGAAACCCACGCAGGCACAGGGAGAACATGCAAACTCCAGGCAGGAGGTGCCGTGGCTGGGATTTGAACCAACGACCCTAGCACTGCCAGGCGGAAGTGTGCTAACCATTTAGCCACTGTGCTGCTGTTATGTAAAAGTGATCCGGGTGGCATATCACTTTTAGGCCTCATTTACACTTGCTTTGGTCTCTGAAAAGCAATCTGCATTCAGATCACTCTGCAGAGAGCATTTGATAGTTGCATCACCTCCTAAGTGCCTGAACTATCACCCCGCAACAATGTGCTTTATGTACAGTTGCGAGGTGAATGCAATGAGGCCTAGAGCACTTGAATTGGTCACGTGTGGTGGGTGTGACAGGTGAAAATTGGCTTGTGTGGTTTTACCCCCCACCCGCAAGTGCAAACTAGCCCTTACAGCTTAACCGGTTCACGCTGACAGTACACAAATATGCACCCTCTCAGCGGCTGGGCCTTGACGCCGAGCGGCCTCATATTTGCTCACCAAAAGTAAGCAAGAACATGTGCACTGCGTGCTCCTGGCACATTTAACAGCACTTCATGGACAGGTCCTGATCACTACTTGCGATCAGGACCTTTCTGTTCATGTGACCTCTGTGACAGCCGGCGGTCCCATGACCCTAAACCCCACCCCACCTCCTGGCATTACAAACCCCTTAAAGAGCTAGGAGGCACCGGCATCAAGGGGTTAAAAAAGAAATTTGCAGTTGCAATCATGGGCCACTCAATATTGTGCAACCATCCAAAAGCATGGTTTGTGCACAGTTGTGGGGCGGTTGCGATGCGGGCCCCAATCACTGGAATGGGTAGTGTTTGGTGGGTGTGACAGGGGGTATGATCCGTGCCAGAGCATGTGTACGCTCCTGGCCACTGCTCTTCAGCTAAAGGGGTGAGCGGTTAAGGGCAGTAAAAATGCGGGCCAACTGCGTGGTTTTACCTTTGGCTTCGCTGCTGTCAATCACCTCCAGTGAGGGAGCGGAGGGCAGGGCTGAGCTGCGCTCTACGAGGCTGATGGAGACACAGAGGTGGCTCTGAAGTGAGCACGATCAAGTGCCTCCAGAGTAAGTAAATTGCTCTGGGGGCACTCGGCAAGGGGCCCCAGAAAACGAGGCTAGGAGGATAGGGGCTGCTCTGTTCAAAACCAATTATGACAGGTTTGCTATTTTAAAAAAATTGAAAATTAAACTTTAGAATCACTTGACCACAGCACAAGGTGGTGGATTGTGTCACACTGCACTGACAAAAAAGTAATGCATGCAGTACTTTCTTTCAGCGCACACCATCACGAAGTGGCAATGCGAGTTGACCAGGTAGGAGACAAGGAATTTTGCCTCGTCTTGATGGGATGGGACTGCGCTTGAATAGCTGCCCAATGCAGTCCTACTGCACCTGGATTGAATCTGCCCTAATGGTGTTCCCTGGCTGTCATGCTGAATTAATGGTTTCAATGCTTGAGTCTCACTTCACTCCACCTTTCCTAATCAAAATATTTATATCAGGTCAGTGACAAACTACTGAATCCCCTGGACCTACATGAAAGCAACTTGCATTGTATTTCTTTCACTACAGGTTTTTTTTTCTTAACGAAGCAGGTATTTTATAGAAATAGTAGAGTTTTACCTTGAAGGAATACTCCAACCTGACCAGAAAAGGGAAGTTGACGGCTTGTAATATCCTCTTCTCATTAAGCGTGTGCTCTATCTGCTTCAGCTTTACCACCTGGGAACAAGAGAGACAGATTGTATCACAGAAATCACAAACAATGAAACTGAACATTTGAGCAGAAATGGGAAAAACTATAGAACGTCTTTGTATGTTTAAACAAATACAAATGTGCTTGTGTCGAAGTTCTTATATGTAAAAGACCACATACACTATATAGCCAAATGTTTATGGACAACTGAACATCATACCTATCTGAGCTTGTTGGACATCCCGTTCCAAAACCATGAGCATTAATCAGAGTTGATGGCCTTTAAGTTCAAAAAAACTCTCAAGATTTATAGAGTTAGGACCACAGATACTCAGGGTGCCGTGATGTGGCTCACGTGTGTATTTGCAAATGTGTGCTAACTAAACCCCCGTTTTTAAACGCATGTTCTTAGACAGGTTAATTTGGTTTTTGATAGTTGGCTAACTGGTTGGCAGATTGAACTGGCTTTCTTATCCCCCTTTTTGATAAGTGATACCTATCCATGTTCTTTGCTGAAAAAAGCCATTATTAGACTGGGGTTGGCTGGTAAGTTGAACAGGGTAGCCCTATTTATATTTCATATGCGATACCCATCCATGTTCACTGTTGAAAAAGCCAGTTATAGACCTGGGTCGGTGACCAGTTTTTTGAATGTAATGTTTGAGGTTTATTGGTGCATTGGACACCCTGGCTGCCGTTGTGCTATATGCTGGGTGTCAGTGTGCTCCTGTACCTTTAACGAGGGGTGGGCTCCCTCAGGTCCACCTGCCCTTGGTCTATCCATTAAATGCATGTGCCTCTACTATGAAGACTCAAGATTTATAGAGTTAGGACCACAGATACTCAGGGTGCCGTGATGTGGCTCTGTGGCTTAAGTATGTATTTGCAAATGTGTGCTAATGAAACCCGTTTTTAAAAATGCATGTCCTTAGACAGGTTAACTTGGTTTTTGATAGTTGGCTAACTGGCTGGCAGTTTGAACTGGCTTTCTTATCCCCCTTTTTGATAAGTGATACCTATCCATGTTCCTTGCTGAAAAAAGTCATCATTATTAGACTGGGGTTGGCTGGTAAGTTGAACAGGGTGGCCCTATTTAGATTTCATTTTTGATGTCCTTTAAGCCCTGGTTCACACTAAACGCGGCTTTGAAATTGCACTACTTCAGTGTGATTTCAAAACCGTCGATCAGTGCGACTGCATGTGTGGCTTGCCAGCATCTGTGCGACTTCATGCACAGATGTCAATGCAAGTCACACATGGAACTGCCAAAAAAATAGCACAGGAACCTTTCAAATTTGAACAGTTCCATAGCTGCAAATAGGGTGCGACTTGTCATACGAATGATTTATCAAGTTGCATGACAAGCTGCACCGGAGTGAACCGGGGCCTAATGATACAAAATCTTCCCCTCTCATGGCAAGGATTTCTACAACAGTTTGGAGTTGGTAAGATAGTGTGTATTCCTGTGCGCAAAGCCAGGTCTGTAAAGACATTGTTTAATGAACCATATTGTTAAACCAGCAAAAAGAGCATTAGGTACTGTTGTAGGAACAGAAGACCTGGTTCGCAGTCTGGGTTCTGATTCATCTCAAAAGGTGCTCAATAGGGTTGAGGTCAGGGCTCTGTGCAGGTTGCCCAAGTTACTTCACAGCAAACCAACACATCTTTATGGAGCTATCATTGTGCACTGTGGCACAGCCATACTGGAGCAGAAAAAAGGCCATCGACACAATTGTCTAAAAATGTCTTTGCATACTGTAGTATTTACAGTAACCTTCACTGGACATACCTGAACAATCATTTGAAGGTATAACCACATACTTTTGCCCATATAGTATAGGTTTGAAGGTAAGGTGTCCAAAAATGTTTGGTACATAGTTTAGTAGGCTGTGTCCACTATGCCTACTATATAAAAGCCAACTTTTTTGGATTGGGAAAGGAATATTTTTGCTGCCTATGTACCCCGTTGAGGGGATTGCCCTCTCTTGTGGTTTTACAATAGACAACACACACTGCAAATAACTTTCTTAAACCAGGTCACTATAATTAGTGGCTAGGATTGCTTTCACAAGAAAGCCCATCACCAACAAAAAAAAAAAAACAAAAACAGGTTGACGCCTGCAGGTTGAAGCAGCAGACATCATCCCAGTATAGCACTTTAAGACCAGCTAGCCTACGTAAAGATTGCCGGGTTAAAGTGGTTAACGGACACGTTAGCTCAATGGGTAGGTGGATTTTAACAGACATGCTAATATTTACAACCCACTACCTCTGAATGGTCACGTTTATATCTCAGAAACGCTATGTTTTGTAGGTAATCAGATGTAAATAGATACACATCCTGAAAAACTGACAGATGGATCTGAGTGGGCCACCCATATGAAAGGGGCCAAAAAGTACATTTTTTTAGGATACGGCCAAGGTCACATCTATGTGTTTACCGATTTGTAGAAACACACTAGAGTCCATTTAACATGATTTCTCATGGGTCAGGTTCACATCTGTGCTTTTTCAACCAATGCATTTTTGGAAAGGGTCAGGGACTTTTTTTTTGCGCACAGGAGATTGAAGTCTATGGAACCCAAAAACACAATGTAAATGAATGAAAAAGGCATGTCTGGTTTTTTTTTCTGCATGACAGACACCGCCCTCTTTTTTTTTTTGCTCTTTACTTGCCTAAAAAAAATCCTACCAAATGTAATGCTAAGGAAGGGGCTATGGAATCAATATTTAAAGGATAGGTTCACCTTTCATAACATGTTACACTCATATTCAGGGTGTAAAACGTAATATGTTATGAATGGACCAGGCCCCGCACCCCACTTCTCTCTTCTCTCCCTGCTAGCTTTCAAAATTTAAAAAAATATTAAAAATTAAAAAACACGGCCCGCCTGGCCATGTCACACAGTCTTCTGTGAATGAGAAAACTACAAGTCCTGGCAGCCTTAGTGGCTGTTGGCTTGTAGTTCTCAATGAACTAACAGGGCGCGGTTAAGCGCTGTGGTAGTTCACGGATTCTTCCTGTCCGTAAATCTGCTTGCCCATAAATCCCGTACAGGACAACAGATATACTGACAGATCTGCAGAGGACCTGCATGACACCAGTGATCTGCTGATTGCTGGTACAATGCCTTACAGGCTTCTGCAACAAAAATACAGTTGCAAGAAAAAGAATGTGAACCCCTTGGGATTACATGGAGTTTTGCATGAATTGGGCATAAAATGTGCTCTGAACGTCATCTAAGTCACAACAATAGAAGAACACAGTCTACTGAACATAATACTACACAAACATTAGATGTTGCCATGGTTTAATTGCACATAACATGTAAACATTCACAGTGCAGGGAGGAAAAAGTATGATCTTTTGGACTTAACTGATTGACCCTCCTTTGGCAGCAATAACCTCAACCAAACGTTTCCTGTGTTTGCAGATCAGACCTGCACAACGATCTGGAGTCATTTTGGACCACTCCTCTTCACAAAACTGTTTCAGTGTAGCAATATTCTTGGGATGTCTGGTGTGAATCGCTCTCCTAAGGTCATGCCACAGCATTTCAATCGGGTTGAGGTCAGGACTCTGACTGGGCCACTCCAGAAGGCGTATTCTGTGCTGTTGCAGCCATTGTTTTGTTAAATTACTTGTATGCTTTGGGTCATTGTCCTGTTGCATCACCCATCCTCTGCGGAGCTTCAGTTGGCGGACAGATGGTCGTACGTTTTCCTGCAAAATGTCTTGATAAACTCTGGAATTCATTTTCCCATCAATGACAACAATCCGTCCAGGCCCTGAGGCAGCCCCAAACCATGATGCTCCCTCCGCCATGTTTTACAGTGGGGATGAGGTTTTGATGTTGGTGTGCTGTGCCTTTTTTTCTCCACACATAGTGTTGTGTGTTCTTCCCAAACAACTCAATCTTGGTTTCATCTGTCCACAGTATATTTTGCCAGTAGTGCTGTGGAATATCCAGGTGCTCTTTTGCAAACTTCAAACGTGCTGCAATATTCTTTTTGGACAGCAATGGCTTCCTCCGTGGTGTCCTCCCGTGTACTCCATTCTTGTTTAATGTTTTCCTTATTGTAGATGTGTCAACAAAAATGTTAGCATGTGCCAGAGATTTCTGTAGGTCTTTAGCTGACACTCTGGGATTCTTCTTTACCTCATGCAGCATTCTGCGCTGTGCTCTTGCAGTCATTTTTACAGGACGACCACGCCTAGGGAGAGTAGCAACAGTGCTAAACTTTCTCCATTTGTAGACAGTCTGTCTTACCGTGGACACATGAACATCAAGGCTTTTGGAGATACTTTTGTAATCCTTTCCAGCTTCATGCAAGTCAACAATTCTTGATCGTAGGTCTTCTGAGAGCTCTTTTCTGCGAGGCATGGTTCACATCAGACAGTGCTTCTTGAAACCAGTAAACCCAAAACAGGTGTGTGTTTTTTAAGGGCAGGACAGCTGTCAGCAACACATCTAATATCATCACACTGATTGGAGTCAAGGTTGGCTCACTCCTGGCTCCAATTAGCTCTGGGAGAAGTCATTAAGCTAGGGCCTCACATACTTTTTCCTCCCTGCACTGTGAATGTTTACATATTATGTACAATTAAACCATGGCAACATCTAATGTTTGTGTAGTATTATGTTCAGCAGACTGTGTTCTTCTATTGTTGTGACTTAGATGACGTTCAGAGCACATTTTATGCCCAATTCATGCAAAACTCCACGTAATCCCAAGGAGTTCACATACTTTTTCTTGCAACTGTAAATGTAAATTTTTACCTGCAAAAAAACATGCATTTATTATATTTTGTCAAAAGAACTTATCCTTTAACAAAACTATACCTGTACTGTGCTGCCAGATTCCCTTATTTGTAAACTTGATTTGAACATTGTCTGTCCTAACAAAGGGTTAAAGGATAAGTTCACTTTTCCTAACATGTTACATATTACACCCTTTTTTGGGGCTGTAAAGCCTGGTACACACTACTAGTTTTTTTTTTTTGTTCAATGCAGCAGATTGCCTCTTCTTCCTTTTATGCTGTACTATCTGATGATGTTAGTACAACAATCTCCCTGCTGTGCTACTGTTTCCTCCTCCTCCACCAGAACACTGATCAGCCAATCGGCAGACCTATTTGGTCATGCCCCTACGACAGAAGCTGACTTCTGTTGGACCAGTTGCCATATACACAGTCAAAATGTCGGCCAGTTTCTATTAATGCTGCCCGACATTTGGCTTGTATGTACTAGCCTTAACATGTTACTGATGCCACAGCCCCTGATCCCCTGTTGTGACAGCAGGCTGGGGATCTTCTCCTCAAAATCTGATGTCACAATTTTAAAGAAAAAATTGGCCATGTGGGGCTCCACTCACCTGACCTCATTCCTTCACAGAGTACTGTGAATGGGAGAACTACAACTACTGTCAGCCATTGTGGCTGGCGGATTGTAGTTCTCAATGAACTACCGAGGTGCTGTGGAGCGCTCCGGGTAGTTCACTGGTGTTTCCTGTCATTCAGTAACTGCCAACCCCAGCCACACTGACACTCTGCAGGAGCCTGAGGATTACTTTACAAACTTTTAGTAAAGAAAAAAAAAAAAAAAAAAAAAAAAAAAAAGCACATTATTTTACCTGCAAAAAAGATATGCATTCATTTATTTTTTTTTACAAAAGTGAACTTTAAAAGAGAAGTATGGGGTCATGGAAAACTCATACTCACCTAGGTGGATACAACATCAGTCTGATGCTGCATCTGTTCCTCTGACGCTTTTAAGATTGAGAACTGAGCAGTCAAAGACTGCTGATCGCTCGGTTCTCAGTCTTCAGTGAGCAGGTGATGGTCAGTAACAGGCTCACTGCTCCACTACAGCAGCACTTGGCTGTGCAGGGGGCTGGAACAGTGGTCACTTGGCTTTCAGGTGGTCAGGAGTTTTCCAGAGAATGGACCGTCTCTGTGACGTTAACAGATAACGGGCTTTAGCCCACTGTTTGTTGAAAATGGGTAGGAGGAGTATGGCAAAAAGAGCTTTAGCCATACATATCCCTCAAAGACCTTGAGGACTGGGCTGCACAATGTTAATGAGGGGAACTTGACCCACACAGTCTGCTCATAAAAAAAAAAAAAAATTTAAACACCTCAAAAAAGTTTGACAATTACTCCGTCATGCAATGCTGTACCCAAATGAGTTTTATATTATTCATTTTTTTTTAACAGATAAAATCTTTTGGTGGTATTTAATAATTTTTACTATTAAAAAAAAAAAAAAAAAAAAAAAAAAAAGTTGTTGGAAAAAAAATGTTTCCCTTTACTTTCTTGTTAAAATAAAAATGCCAGAATAGTAAAAAAAAAAAAACCCAAAAAACGAAATTACCATAATTTTGGAAAGTAGACACCACAAGGTTATCTCATTTTTTCCCCACAGTATTTTGGAAATAAAAAACATGACAGCACTGAGGGGGTTAAATATGGAGCTTGAAAATGGTGTACTAGATACATAAAATTTCACCTTTTATAACATGTATTCAGGGTGTAATTTGAATAATACGCAGTCATGCCATTCATTCACACAGATCTGTGAACAAACTGTGTAGTCCTGTCTGCCACTGGCAGATGGCTTGTAGTTTTCAATGGACTATGAGTGCTGATCAGTGTGCTTGCATTCCATTCACTCCTACTCCAGTTTTCTACCTGAAAGCCCAGAGAGGTATGGGCATAAATCTGCAGGGAGAGTGTACAGGAGCCTAACACTGCACCTGTGGATGGCACTGGGTAAGTAAAGGGCAGCTGTTGTAACCCGGTAGAAAAGGGGTGAATGTTACACTCTGGTCATAATTTGGGGACCTGGACAGCAATTCCACCCTGACAGATTCTCTTACCCTTTCCCCACTCTATAGAGCAAATGAAATCACATGCCCACTGAAAAGTCAATATAGTCTGCTTACAGGAAATGTAGAGTCCAATTGTTTAAAGCATGCTCTAATTCCGGAGCAGATAACCGACCCACCTTCTGTTTATCAAGGATCTTCATGGCATAATACTGATCGGCTCCTTTGTGCTTTACCAGCATCACTCTTCCAAATGAGCCAGTTCCCAAAGTTTTTATCCTTTCAAAGTCATCTAGGCTGGCAGTATTCTGAAAGACAAAAACGGACAAACCATTTTAAAGAGAACTCCATTCAGCATAAAACCTGCCAATAAATATACATACTGTCAGGGTGTATGAACCTTATGCGATGTGTGTCTTGCAGTACTGCAACAACAAGTGAACATAGAAAGCTGGATGATGTCAGAGACTGCCTACATATTCTGCTAGAGTCCCTACGGCTGCATTCACACTTGCGTGATTTGTAGCTTGAAGCTCGAACCAAAAACGCTCAAATTTAAAAACTAGTTTGTTCTCCATGGTGCCTGTTCGCATGATCAGGTGTGTACAAGTACCATCAACAACTGATTTACGTTTGAGCTTTTCTGGATCTTCGAGCTTTAAATCACTCAAGTGTGAATGCAGCCTAGACTGTACAGTACAACTCACAGCAGTCTCAGGAATGCAGCAGTGTATGTGAGGAATGCCTTTACATAGCAGCCACATAGCAAAAGCTAAACCTATATATCCCTCGGAATAAGAATTAAGAAAAAATTGGAAATCAAAGTCCTTGCCTAGACAGAAATGTGTGAAATGAAGAGATCATTAGCGATTTATTTTAAAAGTGTAGATTTGGGGCCCGTCATGCTCATTCAGACTTAAAGGCTCGGTGAGTCGGGTCTGGAACAGGTATGCAAAAATGGGATTTCAGACTTCACTGGTTGCATGCTTACACCAAGACATTGAGGTGCTTCTGGATGACAGACATGGATGGAGCCTGTATCTTAAAGATCCAAAACAAGAACAAACAAGTCAGCAACGGCAGATCACAACCTTCTATCCTCCCAGGGTCTCTAAGTATACACCTAAATTGAGAATACAGTTATGTAAATCCAATATTATTTGCATGGTTATGAAATGCAAACAGGATCTTGCCCTTTGAAAGACCAGGATCAAGTCTTCAATATAAACAAGTCAGTGTTGGCAGATAACATACAGTAAATCCCCTACTTATGTCCAGCAAAGATCAGCGCTTGATGACAAAAGGCTACGGATGCTGATCAGAGTGTTCTGGTGATTGGGGGGGTTCAGAACACAAACGCACAGTGGGGAAGATTGCAGCACCAACACTGCTTGTGTTGGTATGCCAATTTGTCAGGTTTTTTTTCCCCCCCCATTCAGCCCACTGAGTTGAATGGGAAAAAAAAAAGTATGAAAAAAAAAGCAGGACTGGACAAATCTTCGCATCTTTGAGTGTTTGTATGTAGGGGACTTGCTGTATTGCTATCATTGCAGTGTCTCTGTAAAAAGACATTTAAACAGAGTACAATCGTGTGATTTTTTTTTTTTTCACAATATGCAAAAAGGAATTTGCACTTTAAAAAACACAAATGTCACTTGGCACTAAAGGAAGAAACTGAAATGAAGTGCATTCAGATCGAACAGAAGCCAGGCTGACTAACAGGTTTGTGACAAAGCTGGAACGGAGCTCAGCAGATGACTGAACAGTGTACGCAAACTAGATACACAAATGTGCAATGACTGCCACCACGCCAGAGAAACAGGAAACAAACACCACTATACACATACCGCTCTTTTCCACTACTTAAATCCACATAACATGGTAAAAGAAAAACAACTATAGTGTGAGTGTTTATGTATGTACGCAAGTATATGTAAACTAATATAAAACACTTAGTTTTGGGAAATTTGTCGTCCAGTTGCCCCGATACATTTAGGCCTGTTTCACACAGGCTTCAGCTTGTATAAGAGCAGTATGAACAGTAAGCTTTGATAAAGCATTTACAGAGCTTTCGGGAAGCATTGTTGAAGCTTTTAAAGTACCATTCAAGTCCAGTTTGTAAATGCTGAACACAGATACTAAGGAGGAGGACTGCCGATAACCGGCACTTCCTGTTTACATGTGATCAGCTGTGATTGGACACAGCTGGTCACATGTAAAAAGGAAGCTCTGATTGGCCCCCGACTTGGACAGCTGTGTCGGAAGGACTGCACAGGGGGTGTGGTTCTGGGAGGACGTCCATGGATGCCCTCCCAGAACTAGCCAACCGTGCTGTAGTCGTCTTGGCTACAGCACGGTCAGGAAGTGGTTAAGCAAGCTGCTAGCAGGCTGTAGAACCTCTTGAAGCTTGCTGATAGCCTGAAGTCTGCTAGCAGCTTGGTTAGTGCCGGCTCACACTACTGTGGTGTGGGACACCGCATGTGATTCGGACTGGAATCACACCACTTTCCTGCTCAAATCACATGCAATTCTTTGCAGTGTAATTTGGGCCATTCATTTTGTATTCTCGAATTGCACCGTACCAGCAGGAAAGGCGCATGCACATTTTTATTCCACACTGGAATCGGATCAGTCAATTGAATTACACTCTATGAAACGTTTTTTTTTCGGGTGTTGTTACCTTAACATGGACAGCCACAGCGGTTCGCATGAACGGAGTGCGATTGTAATGAGATGTGGAAAACACACAGAATTCACTGAGAATCCCACACCACATCAGTGTGAACCAGCACTTAGAGCGGAGTTCCACTCACCCTGTCAAAAAATAAAAGTCAGCTTTTTTTTTACAGCTTGCGGCTTCACAGCTGGGTACACACTACGGATCTGCGAGTAGCGCTGCGCTTCATGAATGGTCCTGTAGTCTTCTGGGACCTGTTACGTGTCCCAAAAGACTACAGAGAGGGAGGGAGGAAGGACACCTTCCGCTTCTGGTCACCTAGGCGATCGGACGGGAAGTGGGAGAGGGTACCTGTCAAATTCTGGTACCCCCCCCCCCCAAAGGTGCCAATCCTTAATGGGGAGCAGTCCTTAAAGCGGAACTTCCCCTTTCGGGTGGAGCTCCGCTTTAAGTGGCAATAAACACTTGAATAAGGATTTGTGTTCAATGTTTACAAACTATTAGAACAGTACTTTAAAAGCTTCAACAATGCTTTCTAAAAGTTCTGCAAATGCTTTGTCAAACCTTAGCGTGCACACTGCTCTTATAAATCTGAAGCCTGCGAAAAACAAACCACACACACACCTGCTAATAGACTGAGCGTGAAGGAACCCTGCACAGAGACAAAAAAGGGAGCTTGCAGTTTCATAACCTCTCCTCCAGAAAACAATTGCTGCTTGCCTGGCCGTAATACTGGTCCTCTGACACCAGAGTTTCTAACTTGGAACAATATACAAGTCAGGATGTTCAATGTGCATGCTTGTTCTGGCTTAGTAACCCAAAGTTATAAAGCCCTGCAAAACCAATGCATTTTGGGAAGGAGAGGTCAATAATCCCAGTCTTGGTGAAGGTTTGCAGGATAACAAGTAAATTGACTTCTGATATGTTGCTTGAAAGACTGATGAAGTACCGTTCAATGCATGTTTGAGGTAAAAGGTCATAAAAGAAAAAAACATGGCCTACAACTAAAGACATTCTAGTTGTCATGCTGGTTCTCTGTCTACATCTCAGTTGCTGACCCAAACAAGTACATTAGAAAAGTTAGATTAGGACTTCTTGTCTGCAGACTTGTTTTGGTTACTAAAACCAGATGACCAACATGACTTCAAGTCAGCTACGGTTTTCAAAAGACAAGGTCAACAATGGCAGCCTACAGGATGGTCTCATGACAGGTTTCCTTTAGAGCTCACCTTCACACTTAAATGTGCAGTGAGGTAGGCTGCTACAGAAGCATCCCACGTAGAAAAAACAAAAAACCAAAATCACATCAGCAGCACATAACACATAGTATGTACGATACAGTCAATTGCAATGCATTTGCATTACCAGCTACTGTAGAAGTTGTGTTGTATTGGCTATTTTAGGGATGTTGGCATTGAAGTGTACAGTACAGAAGTGCAAATGTGCTGTAAAACCTTTAGACTTTAAATTCAGGGTTCCATATATAACCTCAGCAGTAGGTGACTGGCTTTTTTTGTAGTGAAGACCTGGACCAATGCAGGAGGAGCCAAGCTGCTTGTGTAAAATGTACAGATGTAAGTAGCTGAGGGGTGACCTGTAGCAATATGTAATCCTAAATGTAGTTTCAGTCCTTGTCATTGAGGAAATTAGGTGTTCAGCGACAGATGGTCATCAATTAGCATCTGAAAGACTAGCTTCCTCTGGAATTGGCACCCTGGTGCTAATAAGATTTTGGCACCTTCTGGGGAAACTGGGAAGGAAATGGCTGGAGACAGGTTGGCTTCATGACACCAGGGGGGCTCCGATCTGTCTCCCTGACATTGGGAGCTCTAAAAGAATATACATACATCAAAAGGAGTATGTTTCATCCCTCATAAAAGCGAAAATATTGGTTGCAGAGAGATGAAACTACTTCCTTCAGATGGGGCACTCTGTGGGTCACATCGACATATAAAACTGTATTTGCGGTTTAGGTAGAATGCCAGGAGAATGCAGGAAATGGTTAGGTGGTGCTGGATTGTGACAGCTGAACAGTGATTGGTACTGTCGCGAAAGGACTGATGCGCTGGTGTCAGAAATCCAATCCCCGACTTGATGATTCAAGCCGGTCTTGGTCCGATTGACCTTGGGCAGTTCGGTACCCAGAACATCCTGTGGGCGGGTACAGGAACACCCTCCAGGATCAACTGGCCAAGGACTAATGTCCTGCCTACGTCCATATCCCCATAAATTAAGTACCCGGACATTGTGATTTGTATGGAACTGGTTGATCGACTAACAGATTATGGACTCTCTGACTTGCTCCAGTCACAGGGCAAATCTTGGTAAAGTTTTACTTCTGTTTTATTCCCTTTTTATCTTATAGTGAATAGCCTAAGTGTGTCTTCTTGTATTTTTTGTAACTTTTTATACTTTGTACATATTTTATGCACTGCCCACTTTCGGGATATGAAATCTTAAAATTAATAAGTGACTTCTGTGTATTTAAGTGGGCTCATATCTTCAGAGAGATTAGATTGTATTGTATTTTAGTGCCTTGATATGCTCAGTCAAGCTCATTGCCAATCTGTATGCAATTGCACTGCGTATTGGCAGATTGCGTGCAGAAGGTAACAGATCTGCCAGACGGAG